GATATAAGAGTATGACATAATTCTTTAGGGCATGTATACTCATAAATTTTACTGACACTGACCCGCGAGTCCTAGGAACACCTAAAGCTTGCTCTGATACCACTAAATATAACACCTTAAACAAGTACGATACACAGTTGACCAATGAGGGTGTTAAACGAAACACCGGAGTGGCTGACTAACATTTTTCTTATTTCTATTGCTTTAAAATGACTATTTTCTTTATAAATTCAACTGTAAGAATATAATTAAAAATGTATACTGGGGGCTCCCAAAATAAATATATACATTTCAAAATATACAAATAAACTTTGAAATTAAATCTATAACTCAGCTTTATAATAGGGTTCATAAATATACATGTCATTCAAAAACTTTAGACATACTCTGATCAGCTCTGGTCTGGACCTCGATCTCTCTTGGTCTCCTCAAAAGCTCCACCTAATATACGTAAGGAAACAAATTCCAAACACTGAGCTAACTAGCTCAATGCCACAATAATAACTAAACCATACTAATTGTGTATCACTAAAAGGCTCAAGCTATTAAGTCTACTACTTTATACTCACTCTTTACTCTATGGTAGACATCATGGTGTGACTGAGGGTTCTGCATTTTGGAGATCACACAACCCTCTAGTCAACAAAATATGAGGCCCTAGAATCTTTGCATCGGACACCACACCATCGAATAACCCACTCCTTGCGAGTTCAGGCCATGGCCTTAGTTAGTCAGCTTAAAGTGTCTTGAACACTCCCTAAAGGAACCCCGTTAGTTTTTCCTAAAGGAACTTAGGAGTCCTGGTCGTTTCCCGAGCATTCAGACAAGGCTATTCTTATTTAGCCCGACTTTATCTCGTTGCTACATTTGGAATAAACATTATTACCCTTCTCACTTGTAGTCTTATTTGGGATAATTATAAGCTTATTGGGAAATCTCATTTCTTTTTAAAGCTCTCTTAAAATTTTTGCCCAAACTCATGCTCTAGTCTTGATACCATTCTCTCGGTATCCTTTAGTATCGATACTCACTTAAGGGTATCAATACCCTCTAGCTATTTCATCTTGAAAACAAAAGAGAAATATCGATACTCCTATGGGTAGTATCGATACTCAACCCTGGGTAGCGATAACTCCCCTAGAGTATCGATACCAAAAATGCATTATGGAATTCCAATTTTGATACCAAGCCCCTTGTCTCGATACCAAACCCTCAGTATGGACACTTCTTTATGGGGTATCGATACTGCTTTTTAAAAGCTCTTAATTTAAGCTCCTTTTATTAACAGTATCGATTCCAACCCTTAAAATACCCTATTTAGGAACAAAAGTCCCACTCAACTCCCCATTTTAACTTCCTTGAGGTTTCTGATTATGATTAATGTCTTATGTGATATTAAGGGGCATAAATAAAGCTTTTAAACATGGTAAAACACTTGATTAAATAATCTACCATGGAATTCTACTCAACATGCTTAAATCTTAACTTTCTAGCTAAAACTCATTTCTAATGATCTACAACTAGTATACAGAAGTTGTGAGTGTGATACCTAACTTTATGGGCTGCTAGAACTCCTCTCGAATCAACTAGGATTCACTTTCTCTTTACTTGTAGCCCTTGAACTTTCTCCCACCTCCTTAACTAATCAAAGATAAGTAAATGAATTACTAACTTATCTGAGGCTTAAAACAAGGTTAAGGATACTCCAAACAACTCATTTACTAGAATAAACTTGAATCCTTTGATTCCATTAACCTCCCTTAAAAACCCATTTTCTAAAACTAACCCCAAAACTTAAGATTAAGGGTTTAAAATAAAGCTTAAGGGATGAAGGTTAAGATTCTTACCTTGGTTGACTCAAACTAGGCTTGAGATTCAAAAAACTTCTACATCTTTGCTTGCTTTAGGGAATAAAAAGAAGAAAAAGAGAAGAGGAAATGGAAGAGTGCTTGGGAAGTTTGGTTCACGTGAAAACACCTAATATAAAGGGGTTTTTATCCTTTAAAACAAGCTGCAAGTAAATTACTAATTTGGTCCCTCTCCTTTTAAACCCAACTTAAAACAACCACTTAGCTTGAACTCTTGGGCCAAACTTAATCCTAATACCCTTATAAACTAGTCCAAACTGGTCTAGAAAATCTAATGTGCTCAACTTATGGGTCTCGGGTTGACCCAAACTATTAACCCAGAATTCGGGATATTACATGCTATTAACTGTTGAGTGCTCAATTTATTATCAAACAATAGTGTTAGTGACTTTTGTCACTTTTGAAACTTTGGTGTTGAAAGGAAAAAAGTACTCATACTTGAATTACAATTTATGTCATTTATACAAATAATTTTTAAGACTTACATCACATATTTAATCGATAATATACCTAAATCTCAACTTTTTGTAAATAAAATATAAAATATAACGATCAAAATATTAATAAAGAGCTAAGTAAATATATAAAGAGTGGACATATTTTAAGCTCCTAATTGAATATTTTAATATTGCAAATGAGGAATATATATATTGCAAATGAGATTGCAGCAAATTTCACGATGCCAAATCAACAATGTTGAAAGAGAGGGCATCTTTGCTTTATGCATCACACGTATTCCCAAGTAACATTCAATGGCATATGTGGCTTTAATTTGCATACTAAACCAAACACAAGCGCATTACTGTACTCTTTCTGTACCTTAATTAACTCCTTTATATAATGAAAATTCCCCAACTACACTATATGTATATATATTATTCCTCTACTTATCCAACCACGGATGGAAAGAGATATATTAGGATACAACCATACTTTCTAAAAATATTAACTTTTCATATAGTTTAAATATTTTTTTTATAATTTTTATTGATGGTCTTATTTTATACCATTGAGATATATTAATTTAACAAATCTTAAATTTTTAATATAATTTTTAAAATTCATACATTCAATAGAAAATCTTATATCCGTTATTATATTTAACCATTATCCTGGAAGTCAATTCCTCAGTCCTCAGTTGCTTTTGCCAGGAGGAAGAAATGAGTAAAATATAAAAGAATTGGAAGGGAGTTTTAAGTAAAAAATTAGATAATTGCTAGATGCTGACATTAATCCCATTGGCTCAAATTGGTCAACCCAATATTTGATGAGACAACAAATGATTCTTAGTCTGGGTATTTTCATGTTAAAAAAAACAATGTTAATCGGTCAAAATTAGCACCCAAACATGGTGGTGCAATTAAGATGCGTCAATTATTCTTAGTTTCAAAGTGTTGGTGCTTGCTCAATTCTTGCTTTATCTCTCAACTTTTGTGTAATATTATATTTCATTGATAAAAGAAAATAAGTACACCACGAACACATATCAGGGGAATACCAGCTGATAAATTATTTATTTAGTTACATATTTATTATTTTATTTATTATTTTATTTATATTTATCTATTCAATTATTTTTTTTATAAAATTATACATAACGTTATATTTTGTTTCCTTTTTTTATTCACCATTAAAAAATTAAGGACGATGTTGATGTGGTATTTTTAAAAATTATTTTGTTCATTTTTCACTTAATTATTCTTTTATTATTATTATTTTTGACAAGATGGAGAAGGTTAAAATCTAACATGTATTCTCTTAAAAGAATATCATGTTTGTTTTGTGTGAGCATATGAGTGTTTAATAAAGTCTATTGTTGTTTTCTATTTAAAAATTAATGTATTTATTATATGGTTTATTAAATGTAATAAAAACAAATTACAAGTAAATTTAATTAGTTTTTTTTATGATTTATTTTTCTCAATACTTATTATTAGGAGTTGAATTTCTATATTCACCTTCTACCATTAAAATCTCAGAAACAGGCATACACACCAGGTATAAGTCTAATCCCGAGTCTATCTTCGGCCTAAATTAATTCAATTTTTTATGTTTTATTTTTAATTCACTAATAAATTTAATTTAATATTTATATTACTTTATTAATTTAACTTTTATTAATTAAATCTGGATATTTAACCTTCAGATTTTCTCTCTCTACCCGTATGGTTTTGCTTTTAACGAAGATGAATAGGCCATAAATCTTCTAAGTTGTTGGCATGATAATTTATTATCGTATGTGATTTATTATTTACATGACATAAAATTTTTATTATTATTACGATATTATGTTAAATAATAATAATAAATTATTAATAGAGATTAATTGAAATGATAAATAATTTAATATTATTTAAACAAGATTTCAAATTTATTCAGTCGATACTGTAGAATTTTAACAATATCATATCAACCGATGAAATACACTTAATTATCCCATTAAATATTTTGTCAAAGCTAATTATTAATCATGGTTTATTTCATGTAATCGCACCAAGCATAGCATAAAGGCGAATCATAATATCTGTCACGTAATGCCACAAACAAAATTTGCTTTTGGAACAATGCAAACTTTAATAAAATTAGTATAATATTGATGTAAGTGAAAATATTGGTAGCCTTTCTACACCTTTATACTCATGGCATCAAAGAGGGTCCTTACACGCGATGATGATCGTTGATCAAACATCAACTCCACACTATTCCCAACATCTGATTTCTATATTGTGTTAAAATCAACTTGAGATGAGATATTAGATTTTTTAAATAAAATTAAAAATTTAAATTTTGATATTTATATATAAAATAAACTAAATTAAAAAATCATTTCCATTATAAAATCTTATTTAAAATAATTGATCAATAGTTGGATATCCCATGAGTTAAACAGGAAAAAAATCAACTTTATTCCTCTACATGAGCCTCTTATGCCGAAAAAGAAAGTACGGTGATGCCGATCATATTCCTTACATTCACAATAATGATAATTACGACACCATCAAATGATGTCTAGGCATATTACTGCTGTACCAAATGATCCCCTCAATCAGCTCATTTATATACTCTCTTCTTCACCTTCTTTTCTGCAACACCAGTTTTAACCACCAGTCTTTGGCGTTTTTTCTTTAAACTATGGCACCCAAAGCCGATTTTTTCCTTATAGTGTTGTTTGGTTCTGTGTTTTGTTTCTGTAGGGCTACGAAACATGATCAATCGGAGTTTTTTGAGTTGATTAAAACCTCTTTATCGGGACAGGCTTTGTCTGGTTGGGATGTTAATGGAGGGAAAAGCTACTGCAATTTCACGGGAGTTTTCTGCAACAATCGAGGCTATGTTGATGGTCTTAATATCTCCGGTTGGTCGATCACCGGAAAATTTCCCGACAACGTCTGCTCGTATCTGCCGGAGCTTCGTGTTATTGATATCAGCCGTAACAATATCCACGGTAACTTTCTGAACGGGGTGGTGAATTGTTCTTCCCTGGAAGAGCTCAATATGAGTTCTATTTATATAAGAACAAAGCTTCCGGATTTCTCGAAACTCGTCTCTTTACGTGTTCTCGACTTGTCGTACAATCACTTCACCGGAGATTTCCCCATGGCCATAACTAATCTGACCAATCTTGAAGTGCTCTACTTCAATGAAAACGATAAATTAAAGCCATGGAAACTTCCGGAGAACATTTCGAGGCTTTCGAAGCTCAGAGTGATGGTGTTCACGACATGCATGTTGTATGGTCGGATCCCGGCATCAATCGGGAACATGACATCAATTGTTGATCTTGAATTGAGCGGGAATTACCTGTCTGGTCGGATTCCGAAGGAGCTCGGTTTGCTCAAGAACTTGCAGCAACTTGAACTGTATTACAACCAGTTATCTGGTACAATACCTGAAGAACTTGGAAACCTGACAGAGCTCTTAGATTTGGACATCTCGGTCAATGCACTGAATGGAAATATTCCGGTGTCTATATGTCGAGTTCCGAAACTTCAATCTCTTCAGCTTTATAACAACAATATTACAGGAGAAATCCCTGGTGAAATTGCAGAGTCGACAACTTTGAGCATACTTTCACTCTATAGAAACTTCTTGTCGGGGCATGTTCCAGGAAATCTGGGGTTCTCATCCCCGATGATCGTTCTCGACTTGTCGGAGAACAATATCACGGGTCCATTGCCGGCTGAGGTTTGTCGACGAGGTAAACTGTTGTAGTTGCTTCTGTTAGATAACAAGTTTTCTGGAAAATTGCCTGAAAATTATGCCAACTGCAAGAATCTTGTAAGATTTCGGGTTTCTAATAACTATTTAGACGGATCAATCCCTGGAGGACTCTTTGTTCTTCCTCATGTTTCGATTATTGATTTGGCTGATAATAATTTCTCGGGTGGTTTCCCGAATTCATTTGGAAATGCTAGGAATTTGTCCGAACTGTTGTTACAGAACAATAAAGTGTCTGGTTTTTTACCTCCTGGAATCTCTGGCGCTGTCAATCTGGTGAAAATTTATTTCAGTAACAATCTTTTGTCTGGTTCAATTCCTTCGGAAATTGGGAATCTGAAGAAACTGAATTTACTTATGTTGCAAGGTAACAATCTCAGTTCTTCGATCCCGACAACGTTTTGTTCTCTGAAATCTCTCAATGTTCTTGATATTTCCAACAATCACTTGACGGGTAATATCCCGGAGTGTCTCAGTGATCTTTTGCCTAACTCAATGAACTTTTCGAACAATCATCTTTCTGGACCAATCCCTCTGTCCTTGATTGAAGGAGGGTTGGTTGGAAGCTTTTCAGACAACCCAGGTCTTTGTGTTCCAACCCATGTCCGAAATTTCCCCAAATGTTCACACATTTACAACCAAAACAAACTAAATTCCATGTGGGCAATCATAGTTTCTGCCATTGTCATTACAATTGTAGCTCTCTTGGTCCTCAAACGTTGTTTGAGTACACAAAGAACTGTAATGGAACACGATGAGACTTCATCGTCATTGTTCTTTTCGTACGATGTGAAAAGCTTCCACAGGATATGTTTTGACCACCATGAGATCATTGAAGCAATGGTTGATAAGAACATCGTGGGACATGGAGGATCCGGCACGGTGTATCGAATCGAATTGCGGAGCGGTGATGTTGTTGCAGTCAAGAAACTATGGAGTAAAGCATCGAAAGATTCAGGTTTGGAAGATCAGTTGATTTTGGACAAAGGATTAAAGACCGAAGTCGAAACACTAGGAAGCATAAGGCACAAGAACATAGTCAAGCTTTATAGTTGCTTCTCGAGCTTGGATTGTGACCTGTTGGTTTATGAGTACATGTTGAATGGCAACCTTTGGGATGCTCTTCATAATGGAAGACTCGATCTGGATTGGCCGATACGACATCGAATCACTCTAGGGGTTGCACGTGGTTTGGCATACCTTCACCATGATATTTTGCCACCAATTATTCACCGAGACATCAAGTTGACCAACATCCTACTCGACGTCGATTACAGTCCCAAAGTTGCAGATTTCGGAATAGCCAAGGCATTTCAAGCCAGAGGAGGCAAAGATTCCACCACCACTGTCATTGCAGGCACGTATGGCTACTTAGCCTCCGGTAATATTTCGACTCAACTCGAATTTATATCATATTAATCCATATAAATCTAGTCTATATTCTTTATCAAAATGTTTTAATCGCTGGGATTATGCAGAATATGCATATTCGAATAAGACGACAACCAAGTGCGACGTATATAGTTTCGGGGTCGTTCTAATGGAACTAATAACCGGAAAGAAGCCGGTGGAGACGGAATTCGGAGAAAACAAGAACATCGTGTATTGGATCTCGACGAAACTCGAAACAAAGGAAGGGATCATGGAGGTTTTAGACGAGAAGTTGTCCAAGACATTCAGGGATGAAATAGTTCAAGCTCTGAGGATAGCAATGCGTTGCACATGCAAGAGTCCAACCGCACGTCCGACCATGAACGAGGTTGTTCAGCTGTTGATCGAGGCGGATCCTTGCAAGTTCTCAAGTAGGATGAAAGAAGAACCGAATGTCGACAAAATAAAGAACCAATCAGATGTTTCATGTCAGATTCAATGGTAGATGATGGAGTTTCTAGTAAAATAGTAGGGTCCCATAAAATATTCAGAAATCAACCATAAAGAACAAATTAAGTGGTATGTAGATTCTCTACATCTTTTTTTCTTCTTTTTTAATTTGTTTTTAGCTCTTGCAAGGACCAGGAATTTAATCATATATTTGCTTTATGAAATCATTGCATAGCTTTTTATATGACATTTCGTAAAATTTTTAAATACGTAATAATTTTTTTTAAAAATGAATATATACTTATTAACGAATGGTCACACTCACACTCACACTCAAATCCGAATACGAAATTTATAAAATTGAAACGAATAAAAATGCATTATGTGGTTCAAGAATAAGGGTATGAAAAATTCACTCACAAGTTCGATCACCTTTTGAATATTTATTAAAGGTATTTCGATGGGGGGGGGGGGGACAGGATTCCTCCATTTGTCTAAGGAGGCTATTAATTAAAGTATTTCTTAAATAACATGCATAAAGGAAAAATTCATGAATATTATGAAAACAAGTTTGAAAAATTTATATGATAAATATACAAGGTAAATCAAACTAATGGGACGTGATGATAATCAGAGGTGGATATAGGGATACTAATGGTATAATCTTATTCTTGAAATTTTTTAATTTTTGTATAATTAAAGTGTTTTTTTATTAATGATCTAATTTCATATCTCCTAAAATTTTAATATAATTTCTTAAATTCATATCTTATAACAAAAGTTATTGTATTCGTCTATGATGATAATAATAGTACATAGGAATACTAAACAGATATGGTCCATGAAATCATTTGGGTTACACGCATCAATGCTTGGGGTATTGAGTTTGTGTTTGTGGGTGGTTTGAAGGGTCCTCCATGAAAGAGAATGAGATTCATTGAAGTAAAAAATATGTCTTTTGGGCAACGATTGAGAGTCCATATTAGAAAGAAAAAAGAAAAAGTAAAACAACCTATCATCAAAGAGGATTGTTCTCAACCAAAAGGATATTATATCAAAAGCAAGCTTTGGCTATTCCTTCCACCATAAGAGAATTGGTGTAGACACAACATTCTATCGAGTAGGGATGTTAATTTTATTTGAATTCGATGGATTTCGATTCGATCCGATTTTATCTGGTCAATTTTTTATTTTGAAAAATTGGGTTCGGATCAAATTTTTTATGGTGTGGTCGAATTAATATTTAGGGTGAAAAAATCTAATCTGACCTAACATAATATTATAATTTTCTTTTATATATTTAAGGATAATTACATTAATACTCTCTTTTTTTTTCAATAATATTCTCATTTTACCCAATAATAAAAATAATTCTAATCCGTGGACCTCTCTGCCTTCGAGTAAACCTTTAGACTTGTAACTTTGAACAGATTATTTACAAGTCAAGCATTTATAGGACTCAAAACTAAAGACATGCATTCTTCAAACCAAGTTTGCATTACAAGGAGCTTATGGGTAGGAATAGATCGAATGGGAGCGGTTGGGGCAGTCACTCTGTTTAAATAATTTCAAATTATCATATATTTTAGTTTTTTTTATATTTTATATTGATAATACGTTTTCATCCTCTAAAATTTTATAAGTTCATTCCCTCCTAAATTTTTAAAACTTTATCAATCCTAACATAAAATTTTGTGTCCGTCGCTGCTTATGGGTTATGCTGATGAATCGAGGATCACTTTGGATTGCATAGATAGCACATTATTAGAGGGATACACCTTTGTCAACTCTCTTTCTCTTCTGGCGACGCATGGAAATAGAGACAAATCATGCAACTTTTTTGCAATGCAGAACAAGAATCAAAGGACCACATCTTCTTTGCTTGAAGATAGTCTAATAAATTATTTCAATGTTTAATATTTGTAAACTTTATAACAGTAGTATTCCATTCAATCAGAAAATAATGTTGTATAAAGGATTTTAGCAGACCAAAAAAAGGAGAGCAAAAGGTACCCAATAATGGGTTTAACCTATTCAGAGAGCAAAATAAAGTTATCAACAATGATGGATTGCTGAGCTGCCACTCGGTGCTGAAAGGAAAAAAGCAGAGGTTGTGAATTGGTAAGCGTGGGGATAAACAATCGACACCAAGTAAAGGGGGAAGGAAATTAAGTAATATTATGATGTGATTGACTTATTGCAATACCAAAAATGCCCAATATTATGATGTGAATGACTTAGTTTCATCACATCAACTGCTGAGCCTGATAAAACACTTCACCTCCAACGTGAAACATGAATTGTCATGGCGGTTTGATTGGTTCCTGGATAATATTGGTGCCTGCAGCTATAGAACCTGAATTTATCGTAAACCATCACCATTGGTCCATTGTTAATTATAGTGAAAACCTACATCTCAAATCAATTTCTTGCACTTCTAGTAGGGCAGTTTCTTCCGTGATGACCAAGTTCTAGTTTCTTGAGAGTTTGACGATAGAATATTGCATGGCTTACGCTCTTTAAAACCACATGACGGGTCTAATTCGAGGTTTAAAAAACTAACAATCTGGGATCGCCAACACCTAAAATCTCTCCAAGTTGATGTTTAGCGCTTGAAATCGCTTCAATTTCGTGGCAATTTATTGTCGTTTCAACGAGGTTATGGTAGCTCAGCTTGGTTCTGGCCTCGGTTTGATGAGATTTACCTAGTGGATGCCATGCTTGATTTCAGACATGGCTCTTATTGTAGTAAGTTTTGAAGTTGTGGATTTCAGTCATTCTTTCACGGCTCCAAAGATATAAAATCACTTAGACTTGGGGGCTGGAGTTTTGGGGTAAAAGAAGAAGACACGCTGACTTTTTTTTTTAACTTTACTCGATAACAAAAACCTACTCAAACATTAGTGATCATTTATGTAGGTTAACTTTTTTAATTTTATAAATTTATTGTGCAATCCGTTAAAGGTCTAATGACATTTAATTTTCATTGATCACATCTTAACTAAATAAAACGGAAGTGACCAAATCTTCATTAAATAAAAACGAAAGTGACTGAATCTTATGTTTTTTGAATTCAGTGAGGAAAAATGTAAAAACTTAGACGAAAGTGATCAATTATGTAGTTTACCTATTTTTTAAATAGGAATATAAGAGTTTTAAAATTTCTTACCATA